CAATTAGGTAGATGTCCGATTACTTCACTGCAGTCATAGAATGCTAGCAAGCTTTCCTTTCAATTCTTCCTCGTTTTATGTCGTCCATATTGTAGAACTACAAGAAGGACGATTACATAAAAATTTATGTGTGAAAAATCCTTTAGGATCGCTGGCAGATCCAATAGATATTATGTGACTTCAAAGTCCCCTTGTAAGTTCGTGTATATTTCATGATGTAAATAACCGAAGAATGCTAAATTTTGAACGAAAAACAACGGTCTGAATTGGCTCAGCAGCTTGACTTCTATACGAGATGAATTTTAACGTCGATTAATGCATGTGTATTATTTCGGTTCCTTCTTATTAGGAGGGAACAAATGAAAAAGCGATCTCATTCGCTGGAGAAGAACATTTCATAGGAGTGTTACTAACCAATCGAAAGCTGAGACTTGTGGCTACTTTCAAAACACACCTTTATAACATTGTAACATTCAAATCAAAATCATGTTTCATAAAACCACGCGCTTTTTTATCTTTTATCACGCTTATAGTTCTCTGGACTGAACTCTTTCCTTAGAATTCTAATAATCAAAATACAGTACAAGATTCAAAGCAATCAAAATGTGTTTGCTTCTCAAGAAGCTCATTTGATCTTTTGATTTTCTCTGGTTTTTAATTGTGTTGGAACCACGCCTGACAGAACTCTTTCTTTAGACTACTAGTAATCATCTGATAGAGTAATGTTTTCTGATCCTAGCGATGTGCTTATTTTCTGAAAATACGGTCTAACCGGAAAAATAAGATCGAGTTTCTCATTTCTGCTATCTATGTTTACAGGCTATTCGACAGGGCAAAGGCCGTAGCAGGGGCGTGGCAGAGGCGAGGCAAAGCAGGACGATCGCTATTTTGTTAGTTAGATGGGGATTTTCTCTTTGCTTCGACACAAGCTCTTGACGAAACGACTGATCAAGATACTGTGAAAAATTCTTTACGCATTAATATTCTTTTCGGCTTCCAGTGAATTATACGCGTGGTAAAAATATAGGCAAAAGGCGAGTGTGAAGCATAATTTTTGTTCTGGACGACACAACGTTATAGAAGGGTGTTTTGAGAAGACGGCGATGTGGGCTGTAGTCTCAACTCTCAGCTTTCCAATGATTATTAACATTCCAGTGGAAAGTTGCTCTCCAGCGAATGACATCGGTTTTTCATTTGTTTATTTCTAATCAGAAAAAATCATTTTTTTTTCTTCCATCTTTGAGATTTTTCCACATCGTCTCTGTCTAAGAGATACTCAATATGAGGTTGTCGAATAATTTTTCTCTTCTAGGCTTCGATTCATTTTTATTTCAATTTCGAGTCAAGTGATTGCGAAAAGCTACGGCATTTTAGAAATTGCTCTACTGAAACAGGTACAACTGCATATCAATGCCTTCCATTCACACGAAATAAGCGACGCAAAGTGATGCTCGGTTGGACGCCCTACGCTTCAATATCTCATGCATGTTCACAAGATTATGCTCACGACTTTCTGGAATTGGCAGGGCATGCCGTCAAGGAAAGTGCTCGAAATTAAGGAGTCAATCAATGCCGGGTCAGCGCTGGACGACTCCGAAGGTTGGCAGTAGCGGAGCAAGAGAAACGTCCGAAATGACCTGGTGTCGCGCTTCTCTAGAAGAGCGCTCAATCTCACATTGCAAATCCAACTTGCCACATGTTGTTCATCATTTGATCTTTAAAATGAATAAGACGGAAACTACTAGGAGTGTCGTAATGCGTAAGAAGTCATGAATCATTCAATAAATGACGATGTCTTCCGCGCAAGAAGGCTTTGTTGGGTTTGACCACTAATAGTGTGCATTCCGCCTCAGTTGACAACATCATGCTTTCCAGTGAAAAATGAATAGTTCTGACGCGAAAACTTCACTATACGCCTCTTACTACGAGATCATTTGAGAAAAAGTTTCACTCGATAGAAGATTTGTAACTTTGTCGTTGAAATCAGATAGCAGCAAATCAATTTCCACACCTTGGATATATCTCTTCATTCAAAGAACACAGATTAGATGGTATACGACGAGTGAGACAAGCTGCTTTAACACCCACACGTTCAAGAAACAATGGTTAAGAGTATATGCAGCTTATTCACGTCAAGTCTGTATGCGAGAAAAAGATTTTCTGGTTAGAGTCACTCCCAATCCAGACCGTGGGATACTCAGAACATCTTTTCTGTTCACCTAGATTCTGCCATGATCATTAAATTCACCGGACCAATAAAGAAACGTATATCAAAGTAGAAAATAACTTTATAAATGTACATAAGAAAAAATAGCAAGTAGATATACTACAATAGTAACACAGCGGCACGCGGTCAAGCAGTCTTCATGCCGTGTCCACAAGACAGCGATTTGTAGTTAGGTGGCCAATGAGCCGTAATCACAGCGGACTGCCTTGCAGGTAAGCAGCAGATGTGTAGTGCTCTCAACTCACTGACTCGCTCTCAAGCATCCAATGTGACTTGTTAACAATCCGTTCCACCGCAATCAACTAGCCAATGTGAAGTGCTCACAGCAGACTGACAGATAAGTAAACAGACATCCCCTTGTGCTAGCACCAGTTCGCGTTGACAACGCACATCCTCGCCGTCAAGGAGCTTATGATAATGCGCACAAATCATTCATTGGCGACAAATTAGTAAATTTCATGTGCTTACTACTGGCTTGCACATAGCCAAGAAGCTGATCTGTTGCAACCACAATAGCATAGCCGCCAGATACGCAACCAATCTATCTGCTGCGCTCACGATACACTTCGTCGTGGTTATGCAGCTAATCTGACTTGTTAGCAGCACAGTGGCTCGCCTCCGAGCAATTAACATGATTCCCTTGAAAATCATAGACATGGTTCAATTGAACTTGAAAACTCATCAAGTGGCGGTTAAGTAACCTTTACTGAGTGCTGGTTGACCGCGCGCAAGCGGGTCATTGACAAATGAGACTGCATGGTTGCGCATGAGTTAGCGAGCTATAGCACTTAACATTCGCTGCCTGCCTACGTGACAGTTTGTTGTGAGCACAACACAGTAACTTTTTATTTACAACGCCCCTGTTGTAGTCACAGCTCATTGGCTGCTTGACTACAAGTCGTTGTGCCGTGAACACTCTACCGCCGGTCGACGTGCTTCATAACTCTCTGGCTAATCTTTCTTAGGCAGTAAGATTGGGCTTCTCATAACGTACTGCATCGTTGTCAAGCAGCCAGATGCCCTATGCAATGCACTTTTGCTTCTAGAGGTAAAGAATTTCTTTTTCACATACCGGCTCGCGGTCAAGCAACCTCTGTGTTTTATTGGAAACACATTACTTAAGTGGCATATCAAGCAGATCTGAGGTCCTTGTATAAGCTTTGGCACTGCAGCAATAAACATCAGATCTATTAACCAGAGATAATTCAAATTACATGATCCTGTTATCGTTCAATTTTGCATTGTTTACGAACAGTTTGGTATACAACTTGCCCATACTTGCATTGAGATTTAGCTGTCGTGGAAACAAATTCGCTTGCTAGTCATGCACAAATAGCGCGAAAGGGAAGATGCTAGTGAAGCGGGGTTCAAGAGTTTCCTGTGGGCGGCTCAAGCGTGGTTGTTTCTCCACTAGCTTTGAACTTTGCGAACCACTTCCTAGCCGTCCTTTCCGCAAACCGTATCACTGCCCCACGTTCCATCGATCTTGCGCGTCGCTTCATTAGCAGTTTTCTCTACGCGCCATTCATGTATGAGTAGCAAGCGAATATGATCTCAAGACAGCTCCATTTCAAAGCAAATACAGGCAAGTTGCTTACCACAATGTTTGCAAGATAATGCGCAGGTAAACGATAACAAACTCATGTAATTTAATTCAATTCTGGTTATTGAATTTGGTGTTCATTGCTCTAATTCCATAACTTATGGAACAATTGAATATCAGAACTTGGAGACTAAAGCTACTACGTTTATACTTTAAGGACGGCGAATTTATAGAGACGTTAGTCATCACTTTGAGAAGAGAATAGCAACTTTTCGCCTGCTCTTCCTAAAAGAAGACGAATCTACTGCGTATAACATTTGTCTCTTCATTGATATTTTACCATTTACTCCATTTTACCATTAAAGTCAAATAAGTTACCAACTTACGTGTGGTTTCCTTTTCAGGACAAAAGCTATCTTTACTGCATATGACACTTAGTGAAGCTTCTCAATGACATCTAAGTCATTAGAAATTATTTTGGTAGAACACTACAAAATCATCAAAGGAGCGAGCCCCGCTCTGAAATCGCCTGCTCTGATGCCACGAAAAAGTGAACATGATACCTTCACAGATGAATGTATTCCAATCTGTTTTCAGCACACACTAAAGGTTAACCGCCAGTTGGTGAGTTTTCAAGTTCAAGTAAATCATGTTTATGTTTTCAAGGGAATCATGTTAATCGCTCGGGCGTGAGGTAGTGTGCTGCTAACAAGTCACATTAGCTGCATGACCACGCCGAAGTGTATCGTGAGCACAGCAGATTGGTTGCGTATCTGGCGACCATACTATTATGGTTACAACAGATCAGCTTCTTAGCTATGTGTCAGCCTGTAGCAAGCACATGATATTTGCTGATTAGCCGCCAGTGAATGATTTGTGCGCATTAACATCAGCTTCTTCACGGCGAGGAAGTGCGTTGTCAACGCGAACTGGTGCTAGCACAAAAGGATGTCTATTTAATTATCTGTCAGTCTGCTGTGAGCATTTCACATTGGCTAGTTGATTGCGATGGAACGGATTGTCAACAAGTGACATTGGATGCTTGAGAGCGAGTCACTGAGTTGAGAGCACTACACATCTGCTGCTTAGCTGCAATGCAGTCCGCTGTGATTACGGCTCATTGGCTACTTATCTACGAATCGCTGACTTATGAACACGGCATAAATTCTGCTTGTTCGCGTGTCGCTGTGTTACTATTGTAGTGTATCCACTTGCTATTTTTTCTTATGTGCCTCTGTGGTGTAGTGGTAGAGCACGCGTCCCCGGGATAGGGTAAAACACAGGCTCAATTCCGGGCAGAGGCCATGTTTTTGCGCACTACTCAGTTCTCTTAGGAATATATGAATAACGTAACAATGCGAAAAATGCATTAAAAGTGCTAGAGATTTCGAAAGAAATTTATATTGAAGACTAATGATTATCCTTTCATTATTATTTGAGCCAACATGTCGTGTGGTCTGGTAAAGGCTCTTGTACAGCTCGAGACACGTGTTTCGTCCTTACAGACTCATCAGCCGGGCAGAACCCGTCGTCTGTCGATCTTTTCATGGTCAGTTCTCTCGGGAGCATCACACTCCTTATATGTAGTTATCGACGACCTACGCTTTACACTCTATGTCAGGTGAAACATTCACCTAACACAGAGTGTTTTCGCACTTTCGCACTAAAGCACTCGAAAGGAAAGGTATAATATGATAAAATACCAGCCAGCTAGCAATCGAGTGCGAAAACACTCTGTGTTAGGTGAATGTTTCACCTGACAAAGAGCGTAAAGCGTAGGTCGTCGATAACTATATATAAGGAGTGTGATGCTCCCGAGAGAACTGACCATGAAAAGATCGACAGACGACGGGTTCTGCCCGGCTGATGAGTCTGTAAGGACGAAACACGTGTCTCGGGCTGTACAAGAGCCTTTACCAGACCACATGACATGTTGGCTCAAATAATAATGAAAGGATCTATTGAAATTTGAGCGTAGTCTTAATAAAGCACTCGAAGGAAAGGTATATTATGATAAAATACCAGCCAACTAATGATTATCTTGAAAAAAGTGATGGACTTTTCTCTAACGATCATCAATGATTTCAGTTCATCACTGAGTAAATCTGTCATTTCGTAAATGGGTAAAAATAACAATGAAGAGCAACATATCAGCTTGAAGTGCGGGCTCTTGAAACATGCAAGTTTTACGTAATTAAAACTGTAATAATTCAGTTCTTAGGGAATATTAAACCTTTTTAAAAAAGTCAGATAACCTTCACACTGTGATAGTTTCACACGAGATTCCAGACTATGAAATGAGTGATGGCAGAAAAAGATCACCGTTACTGCAAATGTTTAGCACGCACTTTCTAAAAGGATGGAATACGGGTTTCGACTCCCCACTGAGGTTCAAAGCTTTGTGTATATCTCAGCATTATTTGGTATATAATTATGGCATTTGCGCCAGCACCAAAAGAGCGGTTCAACAAGAAGAATTATTACAGATAATCAATGAATATCGGTGTAACTGAGTTCAATGCCCGATATATTTTTGCCACGTTAAACCATGTTGGTTGATTGCCGACATGTCGATACAATTGTATCGCAGAAAGAGTGGATAGCAGAACAGGAGCGCCGGTAGAGTGCTTGGTTAGCAAGCACCCTCGGAAAGGATGAAATACGGGTTCGATTCTCGCCCGACTTTCGAAGTTTTTGCATATCATTTAGCATATAATTTTATATATAATGTTGGCATCATGCCACAGCTAAAAAGCGGTCACATAAAAAACTCGTATAATTTCAGATTACACAGATTTTTTTCAGAATGTGCTCGATCTGACTAGTTTGTGTAGTATTTGTTTCTGTATCGCTATACATAAAGAGCCGCTAGAGGGGCAGTGATTAACGATTATGTGCAGAACATTGACCGTATCACATGGAGACGTGTCACCCGCTTTTTCTAAAAGTGTCATCGAACGTCAAAGAAATGATAGCGTGAGTAGTATGCTGATAGGAAGTATAACAATTTTTGAACGGTGGTAATGACCATACTTAATGATGGTCCTAGTCACTGAATATTACTTGACTCTCCTTTTGAACAAAAAACAACTGAACCTTAGACAACAAGTGTCTAACGTTAAAGACAATCAGGGAGAGAAGCGAGCAAAAAACTGGTTATACTTTACAAAGGACTTGTTTGTCGTGATATTTGTCAACAACGAATCCGTCTCAGAAGTGGCAGTGATTCCTTGTCGAAATTTTCTTTACTCGCAATTGAACAACAGCATCACCACATTGCTGTCCCCTCAGCTTTTAGATGATTTCATCCGAACAGTCGCTTTATTGGGATCAGGGATACCGGAGTGCTTAATGATGCAGGTCATCCGGAGATAAGGTGCTGTTCCGCTAAAACACACCGGTCGAAAACATGGTGCTAATGCAACCTCTTCTCCCACCTCCTCCTTATCATCCAAACGGGAACGTCTTGACTTGACTATCTCCAAGATTGCAAGGAGGATCCACTCGGTCATTATTCTATGGCATTCACAGAGAAGATGTCAGGCATTAGGTAGCAGTGGAAACAAAGTGTGGAATGTTTGAAGACCTCAAGAGACCGACCTCACATAAACTCCGCCTGTAATAAACTAATGCACTTTGAGTTTGTCATGCTAAGCCGACACGATGCTGATATCAGTCCGTTGACAATGTTGTACTGTTGCTGTTGTTTTTGCTGCGATGCGATAGCTAGTGTTTCGCTGTGTCGGCTTGAACTGTTTTGTCTAACGCTATCAATGTTAATGCAAGCTACCCTTTCTTGAGCTTATGCGAAGTTGGTATAACTTCTTCAAAAACAGTGACTGACGTTTTGACCGCTTCGCCTACCTCAAAGCTCTGCCGTAGAATAGCGCACAACTTCCAATTATTGGCTTTATATTTTATTAGATCTCCGTGGTTGGTGATGCGGGTATCAGAAAGCCAGATAATGGGCAAGACTTTAGTTTGATCATTTCCGTAACATTCTCGTGAAATCAATCACCTGAACGATTAGGATCTCCTTAGCTCAAGTACCACTTAGACTGCGAGGAAAAATCATTTCCACCGACATTCTGCGACATTCATAAAGAAGACAAGAACCCTCAAACTGCAGCGAAGCAACACGTAAAATGTTGTTAGACCTTTGTGGGGGATGACGCAGAGAAACGAATCTAATGCTAGAAGTTTTTCGGTTCGGAGAGTGAACTGCACTTTAGACATGTTATTGGTCCGCCTTCACAGTGTCTTATTTTCACTATGCGGATCCCCAGTACTTTTACTATTCAATCCGTTGTTTCGTTAACTTCTTGAACGTCGTAGGATACCGGTTGAGCGTGTCTGCTCGCAATCTCGAAGATAACGTGGCTGTAGCGTTTGTTGTTGACTGCCGCAGGAAGCCGGGAGCAGGGAGGTAAAGGATAAGGTAGAGCTCAGCTCCACGCGCGTCGCTACGAGAGTCACAAACACTCGGCCTCGGCTTACACAGTTCAAAATAAAGTGAAGCAAAAAGTTTACTGAAGATCCAATCAAAATTAGTTCGAAAGACTGTATATCAAAGAAAGCCCACCGTTTAGCTCATAAGATGAGAGCAGATGTGTGGTCGAATACTATGAGTAAAGAACCTTCCTTAGATTAGAAATTGAATCTGAGATAAGGAGCCGCATCATTTTTGATATTCAGATACTCTTCCTTCTTAATCTTCTTCTGATCTCCGAAATTTATCTCCATTCATTTATTGAATACCAATTATTATATTTTATCAAGCTTACTTTTTTTCAGTCCATAGGGAAATCATGGGTGTGAGGATTGAAGTATTCGAACAAGAATCGCTCTGTAGAGAACAAAAGTGCCATACTTGCTATTGCTTGTCATTCTATATAATGCTATCCAAATATCTTACAAAGTATTGTTTTTTGAGTGTTGAAGACTTAACAAAGCGAACATCATGAGGTCAATAAATACTTCACCAATAACTAAACATCATTGATTTCTAATAGTATGCATGAACTCGCAAGCGATTTCGTCATAGCAGTTATAAATTTTTCGACAATAAATGGAAAATTTTTATATCTGGAAGACCATGAGATTACAATATGGAATAGTTTATATAAAAGGTTCTGCTTGATCTAGATGTTTAGAAGCTCGTTGATCAATCTTTGGATGATGCGACACGCAATCGTCCTTGATTTTCAGCATCGATTAGGGTGGTCGAATGCTTATGACTTCTGCAGTGACTCGTGGTGGCTTGTTGATGAATCAATGCCGCTATCCTCCCAGACAACTCTGATCACTAATTGATCGACTCCGGCCTAATACATTGGATCGAACCATCGCGTTGATTGACTGACCATGTGTGTTGCATAGCACCTCTAACCACCGCGCCACACGCGCTCTATCTAGAAGTGCACTGCTGTTATCTATTACGTCTTACTATAGTTGGTTTGCCGTATAAATAACTGTCAGCATATGGAAAGATTTTGCAACTCTTCTTTGATCTATTTAGGCATTTCCTACTCCTCCATATTGTATGTTACACCCATGACTTACCTTTTACAAATCTGAAGAAGGAAAACAGCAAGCCAGTTATAAGATAAAAGTTTGATTTGGAGACTACACATAAAGTGCAATGATGATTTTGCATTTCTGAATTATCTTTTTGTCTACTCAATATGATGTATTTTATCATATTGTAAGGTTGCACGATTTCATTACCTCTTGTCGTTATTCTCACACCCACTACAAATAATAGTATTCAAACTTTTTGCGTGTAGAATGGCTTACGCCTGATGCCTGAGGATTACCGTCTTCATTATGAATGTCGTTCAATGTCGGTTAAACTCAGAATCCTTGTAGTCATAGGATAGCCGTGTTAGATCGTTCTAGCACGCATTGCAGGGGAGTTAGACTATTCCAAACAGGTCTGGGCGGTTCTCTACCGTCTCCAGAGGGATAAGAAATTTTTTAGGTCCACTGCGAGATCGAATTAGGTCTATGGTTTATTAAAGCTGTCCACCGAATGAACGAGAAAACCACAGCTGCGCTAACGCGCCTGCAAGATTTTACAATTACGCACAATAAGTTCTGGTAATTGACTTATGGTAGTTAATTGTACTACCATGAACTGGGATGTATTCAAATCATTAGTCGGCTCTTGGAAGATACCACTGTCGACAACATTGACGAAGAATACTATCGGCTCGTTGAATATCTCACGTTAGCGCTATCAAAGCCGAGAGTCCTAAGATCACGAAGAGACGCTTGTCCTTGCAGACACTCGAGCTGATATGTC